TGCCTCTCGTGCTGGCCGCGCCAGGCGTCGCCTTGGCTGAGCCCGAGCCCGGAGAGTTGAGGCCGCCGGTCGGTGTGCTGGACTCTGGCCTCTCCCCTCTTCGCTACGCGCTGGGCGTGCGACGGCGGAAGCAGGAGGCCTGCTACGACGCTGGCGACTGCTACTCGCCCGTGCCGTATTATGCCATTGAGTGTGAGCGCGGCGACAGCGAGTGCCTTGCGCGGAAGCGCCGCCTCGCCAGGGAGGAGATCACAACCTTCCAGACGGACCCGCTCTCCTCGCCTCCGCTGCTCGTCTTTCTCGGCGGAGCGGCACTCCAGCTCGGCACAGCATTTGTGCGACTTGTCGCCAACATCCTGCGCAGCGGAGTGACGCGATGTGTGTGCGCATGCCCAGGCACTCGTCTGTGTGAACCCGTCGTGGCTAGTTCCATTTCAGACCGACACAAACCGCGTTACAAAATCTTGATTCTCACTCTACCACTTTGTAGGGAGGTTATCTCAGTCCGCTAGGAGCTGTCCGCTAGCGGGACTGAACACAGGGGATTGAGCGAAATCTTCACTTTTGTGTGTACGGCGTGTTTTCGTTCGCGAGGCTGGGCTGCGGACTGCCAGCCGCGAGCCGGTGCAGGCTGCTCCCAAAATCCTCTTTAAAAGGATTGGGAGCGAGGGCCGAGGCTGCTTCCATGAATCCTAGCGCCTTTGTACCATGTACGGCACGTGTGTCGCGGCGCGAAGATTGACGGTGAGCCCCACCAGCACGGAGGGGGGGGGCTCCTTGGCCTCCTCGGCAGCCTCGGCAGCCTCGGCAGCCTCGGCAGCCTCGGCAGCCTCGGCAGCCTCGGCTGCTTGGCGCAAGCGGCGCACTCGAGCCGCCCCGCGCGCTGCCTTTTTGCTCGCTGCCTTGCCGACGCGCCGCTCCGCCGGCACGCTCGGCGCCCGTCGGCGGCTGCGTCCGCTCACCTCGCCGCGCCGGCAGGAGCTCGTGGCATCTCTCTCTGCGCACGGACTCTCGTGCGGCGGCAAAAGGTCTCATTCCCTGACAAGGGACACGACAGGCTCGCAGCGCGGTGCACGGTGGACTCCCAACTCCACTGGGGTCTCATCTCAGTCTAGCGACTTGCCGTTTCTAGTTTCTCGCGGAAGAAATTTTCTTTTCCTGGCGGATAACAATGTGTGGGCAATATAATATATGCTGCAGACCCGGCTCTGCGTCGGCCTCGTCGTCGCGCTCCTCTCCTCTACGCCGCTCGCCTCCGACGACTGCGTCGACGAGCAGCCGAATTGCGAGAGCTGGGCGGCCGCTGGAGAGTGCAAGAAGAACGCCGGCTTCATGAGCAGAGCGTGCCCAAGGTCGTGCGGAACATGTCCTCCACCCATCGACCCGGCGCTGCTGGAGCTCGGGCCGGAGCGCGTGGTGATGGACATCGAAGGCTACGGCAAGGTGACGCTGGGCTTCTACCCGAAGGCTGCTCCGGTCACCGTTCCGCACCTCCTCAGTCTCTTCCGCCTCGGCTTTGCGATTACTTGAACCACATCCTCCTCTATGCTGAGCAGTCCAGTAGTAGTACCCGTTTCACATAGGCTGCTACGACTCGAACCACATCTTTCGCGTGGACAAGGGCTTCGTCGCGCAGGTGCAGTCCGTCTTGAGCCTGAGAGTGTGAACGGCGACGGTTCTTCATGCCTGCAGCTGTGAACAGGTGCAGTCCGTCTCGCAGGGCTCGGTGCTCTCGCCGCTCTCGGCCGAGTGCGCGCGCGAGGCGGCAAAGACGGTCCCTGGCGAGTTCACGGGCATACGGCACGTGCGGGGCATGCTGTCGATGGGCCGAATGTCCGACCCGGACAGCGGCGGCTCCTCCTGCTCGAGATCGCGCGAGCTCACCCGAGCTCACCCGAGATTAGGTCTGACCCGGACAGCGGCGGCTCCTCCTTCTCCATGCTGCTCGGCCGGGCGGCGCATCTCGACGGCGAGTACACCGTGTTTGGAAAGGCGAGAGAGATGACCCGAGATGACCCGAGAGGCGATTAGGTGCGTGTGATGTGTGTGATGAGATATTTGATCGGAAAGGCGAGATGAGCCGGGATTGACCCGAGATCCCGAGATCGCATCTCGACGGCGAGAGGACCACCTCTGTGGGCTTCGCCTACCCCGGCTGCAGTCTTTCTGCCGCTCGAGCGCTTCGCGCCTCTCGACTCGCCGATCCATTTCCGTCCCTCGCGCAGGTGCTGGACGGCGACGACGTGCTCAAGAGCGTCGAGGAGGTGGAGACACGCCAGGAGGCAAGCTCCCCCAAGATTGCCCGAGACTGCCCGGGGCGAGCGCACACCCCACCCCTTTTGGGCTCATGGCAAGCCACTGTTCCCACGTGGCGCAAGAAGGTGCCCAACACGCCCCCTTTCCTGGCGGAGTGTGCGCACCACCTCTGGCGCAGCGAACGACCCGCTTGCCACCCTCGCGCCCTTCCACCCCCGACCCCTTTCCCTCTACCCCGGCGCCAAGCCCCAAGCCGCGCCGCCCGGCACGCCAGGGGATCTTCGTGATGCCAAAGAAGCGGATCACAATCACGTCGGCGATAGTCCACGCCGAGGAGCAAGAGCTATAGCCGCCAAGCAACGACACCCCCGGCGGCTAGGGCGGCGGCGGCGAGGCGGCCCGGCGGCAGAGGGCAGTGGACGTCCCAGCTCTTTGACCCCCCCCCCCCTTCTCCCCCCCAAGGCTGGCGTGTGCGTGTGACGATTCTCGATTGCCACTTTATGTTATGTCTCTCCGCAAAGTCCTGCGCCCCGTCCCGTCACTCGTGTTTCCCTCAGCACACGCGCGCACCCCTCACGCATCGCCCCAGCCTCGGAGAGCCTCACTGGTTGGGTAGTAGTCTAACACACTAAGTTCTGTGAGCCTCGAACGCCTAGCGGGTCTAAGTGTGCCATGGGGCAAGGGCATGGGCATGGCACGCTGTGATGCTTGCGCGGTCTAAGATCAGCGGGAGCCTCTTACATCGGCTAAGTCGGCCGTGGCACGGCCTGGGGCCAAGAGGCTCCCACCGTGATCGATACGGCGCTCCGCCCAAATTTTCTTCGCCTGCGGCGGGCGCCTACTAAAATCCGGATCGATCCTCCTCATCCGCTCATGCCTCAGAGCAATCGCCGCCTCAGCATCCTCCCCTTCCGATTCTCGTTGCTGCTTCTTGAGCGCAATCTCTAGCCAAACATTTCTCACAATTAGCCTCAAGCTCAAACAAACGCATGTCAGAGAAGCCTGTGTATGCTGGTCCTCTTTGAACGATCCGCGCGTGAAGTAGCATAGGACCTTGTTGGCAGCAGCCAGCTTGTTGCGCTGCTTCGTTGCGATGAGCTGATTGGGATCGCAGAAGTGCATATCCATGCCAAGCACCGCCACGATCTTGAAGCAGAACACATCGCAACCGCATCGTCCGCACTGCCATCGGCATGCCGCGCCCGCCGCTTCGCCGCAGCCGCCTTAAGACACGCATAGCGGCAGCACATGGTACGGTGCGCGTACTTGAGCAGGCGTAGCGCGCCGCAAGTAGCGCACTGGCCCTGGGAGAAGGCGATATGGCGTCGTGCGCGGCATACGTTGGTCGGGACGCGTCCAGGTATTTTTCGGGTTCTGGAGGCTTTGCAGGTATTTTTTTGGTACACCTGGTACACCCGCGTTTTACCCGGAGTTGGCCTTATGTCGTCTAAGTTCATGGCTCCCGACCATACAGCGTCTAAGTCCGAGCCCGGCTCCGTGCGGGGGCTAAGTTGAGCGCTCTCTCGCTGCAGAGGCTAAGTGTAGAGCAACCCTCTCTCTCTAGCC